GCTCTTGTGGTCTCAGGCTGTCCCATGTTGTTGATGCTCAAATCCACAGGCAAGTGGTATCTACATCCGGAGCCTTGCACTGGTTTCCTGCTGCCTTTTGTGCACTGCTGTGGTGGCAGATTCAGTCAAGTCATTACTCAGATATAATATTGCCTCATGTCACTTGTAAGTGGATTCTTTTTTCACTCATATTTGCTCTCGTATACAATAAGTATAATCTAAACTCAGCGACTGCGAAAAAGTGATTCTGTGTCTGCAGCCAGATGAATTTGTCCCTATCCCTGTGTGATATTTCTAAAGGTTTTCTCTAGTCACAGAGCTTACAGGCAGAAAGGAACAGGGCCAGCGATGAATATTGCATGTCTCCTTTGTGTGATTAGGCTTTTGTTTGCCTTTGGACCACTTTATTTAGGTCCAGGTCTTTTGAAATTGCTCCTTTCAAAATCAAGCTTTTAGTTGATCTTGGTGAGACCAGGATGATTGTAATTACTTTCCAATAGCCTAGATGAAATAGTAGTGCTACCCAAATGTAGAAATATTCCAAGGGTGGCTTTGGACAGTGTGTATCAAAGGATGGAGGAACATAGGTGTTAAAACCTGTCCACCTTCAAGAGGAACTCCACCAGCTGAGCCTTCACCCTCCATGCTCTTTTTGGTTAGTTGCACACGCTTCTGTGGTTTGTTTTTTTCAAACTCAACAGAGAATATTTCTTTTGTGCTTTTGCAAAAATGATCAAATCTATTTTTCTGATAAAATAGGTAAGATATGGTATTTTTCATGATGCAAAGGACTGTTTAAGTTATTCTTGGTGATATAATGAAATACTTTACTAGGTGACGTGTATCATGCTGTGTACACAGAAACCTCAGAGTTTCTGTACCCATATTTACCCAGAGCATTCTTTCTTGTTATATTTTCATCTTTTGCTACTTCACATCCTTGTTTATGTATTTACCAAAGCAGCTCAGGTGGCCAAGCAATTACAATAAGAGACAAACATGTAATATGCAGTAAATGCTGCATCATGAGATACAGCATTGCCACAAGGGTTCAGGCCCTGATACAATAACCAGCAAACCAGAAAAAAGAGTTCATTGGCCTCAACACATTTTTCAGTGAATTTTTACTTGCACTAGAACAAATCACATGACTCAAATTCAAGTGACATACGTGCCAGATGTGGACAAGCGACATAATTTCTTGCAGGCACTGAATGTTCTACACCACCACATGTTTTTGATCTTGAACCACAAGACACAAAGTTGCTGCTGATAACATCTACTTTTGCTCAGGTGAATGAATATTGAAGCTTGCTATCACTGACTTCCATGTTGTGTTAGGGCAGAAGAAAATGTAATGCTTTTAAGCAGCACAAGAACATCTCAAAGAGGCAAACATTTGGCAGCAATGTGCTTTTTACAGTCACAGTGTCTTACAGTCATCATGATTGAGATTGGGAGAGGATTTTGGCTTTTCTGGACTTTCTGTGTGGCCTTGTTGAAGTCACTTGACCTCTTTGTAGGGAGGATTCAAGTACATCTGGGGCTTTCTTGAATTTATGTCCTTGCAATCATTCGTCTTCCTCAGTCCACATTTGTCCAGATGGAGTAGAGGGAGTGGGAAGGATCAGAACAATCTCTGCTAACTTAATGTCTTACATACTCCCAGTGCTCCTAAAATAATTGCTCAAATTCTTTGTTGCAAAAGACAGACTCTCAGGATTCCTTCTCCTTGGGCAAATGCTTTCATCCCTTGGGTGTATAACTGCTGGAGCAATAGGGGAATTTGTTTTCAGCACTGACAACAGCATCATTTTCAGCTATCTGTGTGTACCCACCCAGATTTTAGACTGTTCTTTACTTGAGCCTGGATCCCAAAAAAAGCATTTGATGTGATGGAATCACTTCTTAACAAACCCCTCAAGTTAATTATCAAGAGAGTGATTAGTGGGGTTACATGTCTACAAGTCAATGTTAGGAAGAGATCTTCCTGGGAATTTTGCTCATAATTGTATGGGTCACTGACCTTGCTAAAATGGGATTACTTTAGGTGAGATTAAGGCAGCATGGGTAGTAGTCTTTGCTGGAAGTATGACGTTTAGTTTGTTCTTGTCAGTCACAAATGGTACAGAGGAAGCTTTTAGCTGAGAAATCAAAGGAAATGGTGCAGAAGTTTTTGGTGTAGAATGCTAAGGTACTATTTTAATATTTTAGGAGATGTTACCAAGGCAGTGGATGGAGAAGCTGCAATGCTTAAAGAGAAAGGAGATGAAAATAAAACCTGACAGTGTCAGTAATTTAATTCATGAAATAACAATAATAAATACTTTTCAACTGAGGCTGGATCGGGTGTATGAAAATTCTCCTTAGGCTGCTCAATTTTTGGTGAGTAACTACCACAGTAAGAGCAAAATGTCTCCTTCCCCATGAGTTGGCTAAGGAGAAGAGAGCCACTATTCTGGCTGAAATAGCCATTAATGGGAAAATTATGTCTTGAACCTCTGATGGATTTGGAAAGTGAGAGAACATTTTCTTCCTGTTGACAGACTGGAAATCAATTGAGAATTAAATGCATAGAAAACAGATTAATGTCCTGAACCTGCACATTTTGTTATGCAAGTAGACTACTTCTCTGAAGTTAGCCTCTGTTGAAATCCCTCAGTTTCCTCTGAACAGAGATTTGGAAGCTTGCACATCAAGTTCTGCTCTTTCCCACCTGATACCCTCATTTCCTATGTTCTTTATCTTGGCATCCCAACCTAAGTACAGTCTCTCATACTCCAAGCTGTTGGTTTTTCCCTTGGAACCAAGTTTCCTTAATTTCATGAATGTTGGAGCCTCTTCCTCATATTCTCCACCTTATTTGATAATCCAGAAGACACTTTTTCAGAAGTGTATTTGTTCTGCACTGCTCTAAAATCCCCAGATTTCAAATCATCTTGGAAACCAAAGAATTACTAAATCCCCTTTTTTTCTTCACCTCTTCATGTCCTCCAATTAATTTTTCTTCCATCTATTTTGTCTGCAAACTCCCTGGTTGTATTCTTGCTTGCATTGCCTTGACCACTCTGTCTAAATTGGTTTATATTCCCAGGAATCTCATTCCTGACCTTCTTGCAGCATAAGAGCTGCTGTTGCCAGCCTTGCCAGGGAACCTCATCGTAATCATAGAATTTTAGGGGTTGGAATGGACCTTAGAGATCATCTAGTCTCAACAGCCCCTGCCATGGGCAGGGACACCTCCCACTAGACCAGGTTGCTCAAGGCTCATCCAGCCTGGCTGTGAACACTGCCAGGGTTGGGGCATCTACTGCCTCCCTGGGCAACCTGGGACAGTGTCTCACCACCCTCACTGGAAAAATTCTGCCTTGCTTGTGCCTTGCTCACATTTTTCACCTGTTCCTAACTAGCTCATATTCTTACTTCCACTTGACTTGCAACCTGTTCTGGGCTCTCTTTTAATTCTGACTGCTCTTTCACTTCATGCCTCACAAGATGGTAGGCTGAATCAGAGAACCACGGAAATCCACTCAGAGGAATATTAGAAAAGAGGGATTTAAGGGAGGTCCTGAGAGATACTGACAGTGACTCAAGAAAGAAGAAAAAGCCAGAGCTGTTTCTGCTCACACTTACTCCACCTGTATGAGCTGCTCTCCACACTCTCCTTCCTCCTTCCTTTGTGCTAAGCTTGGCTCTCCCCTCATCTCCCTGGTCACCTCTATAGTGCCCTCTCACAACATGTTTGAACCATGAGGCTGAACAGGGCCTACTTGAAACCCCTGGAGATATATTTAGGAGAGAAAACAGAAATTGACCACTCTATGGGTATTCACTTAGCACCTGAAACAATTCCCTATTGCACTTCCAGGTGAAGCTGGGGAAAGGCTGACATTTCAAGCACATGTGTATTCCAGATGCCTCTCCCATCCATGTCCCCGTATCACTCTGTGGTGTCTATATCATAAAATGTGCTGAGGAAAGTCTGATTTATGTGGAAAGTGCTCTGAGGTCTCCACACAGTCTTCTCTTCTCCAGGCTGAACAGCCCCAACTCCCTCAGCCTGTCCTCACAGGGGAGATGCTCCAGTGCTCTTACCAACTTCGTGGCCTCCTCTGGACTTGCTCCAACAGTTCCATGTTCTTCTTATGTTGAGGACACCAGAAATGTGTGCAGTATTCCAGGTGGGTCTCATGAGAGCAGAGTAGAGGGGAAGAATCTCCTCTTTTGACCTGCTGCTCACACTCCTTTGGATGCAGCCCAGGATTTGGCTGCATCATGTGATGCACTAATGCACCTGTATTGCATCTAGTTGGAATATTACTGTCACTCCTGTATTATGCTCTATGAAAAAACACAACCTAGGACTGCCCTTAGTTGCATGGGTGTATTGTGGACTAGTGAGCTAAATGCCTAATCTAAGGGAACCAGTGCACTTTGTTTAGGGCTCCATGCTGTTCCTGAGACAGCTAGAGCAAATCTGCATCATGTCCAAATTTCATTATGTACACATGCTGCAATCTCACCTCCAGGTATGCAGTGTGTGTGTGTGGTCTGAGTGATTCTCTGACAGCCAGAGAAATGAGAAAACTTCAGGTTCTTGGTTTGAGTGAAAAATCATGTGTATTTAATGCTGGTGTGTGAAGAGAGCACCTCATTGCCAGAGTGGTGAAAGCAGCATGGCACTTCCACACTGAGAACATGCTAGTTTCTTTTCAGAATGCTTCACTGAATAAGATGATTGCAGTGAAAGGACTATTAATGATTGTTTTCTCAAGTGCAGGCCAGGTCTGTGGATATCAGCAAGAAGCAGTTCCCTGACAAGCAAACAAGCTGAGGTGTTTGGAAACTCCCTTGGAGACATGGGTCCTTTGTTTGTTTCTCAGTGCACAACATAACAAAGAGAAAAAATTTAGGTGGAGCTGATGTAAACTAGGGAAAATATACCATGATCTTCCTTCAGTTTACATCCTGGGAGCATGAAGGACAGGGCTGTAAAGATGATGAAGAGCATTCCCCTTCTCCTCCTTTTGCTGCAAGTAGTATTTGGTAAGAACATGATTTCATTATGCTGCTAAAATTAGAACACTGTTGGCTGTTACACTTTCTCTTGGGAGCTTTATAATACATATTTAGGGATCAGACATGGATGGGAAAAATCAAGTAACAATTCTTTTCCTACTGAAATATATTGAGCACTGTGGTTACAGCAATAGAATGAAGAGAATATGACTCTTTGCTAAGACACTGTTGGCTGAGGCACTTCATGTGTAATAGCCACTGCTCAGTGTGATATTGTTGGAGAAGAGGGAAAGGTCAACTCTCCAAGAAACAATAACTAGTAGTAATACTCCTCCTTTCAGACATTGATAACATTTCTCTTTGATAAAGTAAAACAAGCCGCCAAACAGGACCAAACAGAAAAAACTTGTGGAGAATATTAGTAGATTAATATCACTATCTTTGTTCTATGTAAATACATGGGATATTTGCCAAAATGAGTATGTGCACATTAGCAATTTAGAGCAAATCTTCAAACTGCAACCTCTGTGGCTCTTGGAGCACTGGTATTCCTTGTAGTGAGCTACCTTAGTTAGGGTCACTTTGCTCTTGAGGAGCTGAAAGAGTTCTGCCATCCCTCAGGAATATTTGGTGATTTTCCTGATGCTCCCAAAACTGTGGTTAGGACACTGAATGCAAATCTCAGCTTTCCTTGAAAAATAGCATTTTTCCTACCTGCATGGTTGTGGAGAGACTGTAAAGAGTAACAAATCACAGATAAATAAGTCTTAAAATTACAGAAACTTCTCAAAGTGAGTCTCACTATTGCTTTGTCTTGGACTCAGCATTTGTCAATGTTTGGCATTGGTAATTCTGATAAATAATGTATTAAATTGCTTCAGGCATGTTTTGTTCTGCAAAGCAAAGAGGTAAGTAAAGACTTGTGAGTATGGAAGGAGAGCTTTTTGTAAAATCTACTTGGAAAAAGAAGAAGCCATTTAGATGCAGTACCAAAAATTTCAGTTAAAAATACAGAGCAAGTAGTAAGAACTTGTGATTTAGAAAGACAAGTCTTGAATAAACAGCCAAAGAAATCTTCAGAGATGATATAGAAATAGCAACTCCTTTCTACATTTCTAAATGTTGTAAATTATTGCATTGTGTTTATAAATGGTTTCCATTAATGAACTGAGGCTTGATGAGGGAACTGGATTCATCAGATACTGCCCACAGGAGATCATATTCAAAGTTCAGCTCCACTTATGGAAATGTACCCCAGAAGCTCCTCTCAGCCCAGCCTCGTCTGAATGGGTGATTTTAGTTGATGATATTTTCCAGAATCTCTAAGAACAGTAATAAAATCCTAGTCCTTTACTGTGTCTTGCTTCCACTGACATAAATCAGTGACAGCTCAGCTGGACTCAGTCCCACAGTGTCAGTGGGACCTGTTCACATTAACTCTCACAGGCAGCTCCCACCTCAGAGTCTCTCCCATCCCAGCCTGTACCTCCCCCACCTGCAGACCATCTCCATAAATGCCAGAGTAATCCCAGCACATCAGTGATCCATGGACCTGCTGGATCTGGAGTGTGAGAGCATGGGAATCTCCATGCAGCTGTGGAGAGGCTCTTAGGCTGCAGCCCTAGTGGCCTCAGACTAGTTCTCAGAGCAGCTTTTTACCTTGCAGCTGTGCAGCAAAAATACAGACTTCAGGGAGCTTTTGCTACAGTAATTGCTGGTGTATGAACAGCCTGTCCAGGCCCCTGAGAGAGCAGGATTTGCCTTCCTCTTGGCACACAGTGTGTAGGAAGTTCAGCTGAACACAGCCAGTGGTTTGGATGAGCCAGCAAAGCATCCCCAGGTAGCAGTCAGCCCTGCCATAGTCTCGTGTTGAGGTACATTGCCAGTTCAAAGATGTAAGGTGTTGTTTCAGAACATGCCTTAAAAGCTGTCCTGATTTATGTTTTCTAGACACTCTTCATGAGATAAAGCACAATAGGCCTTTGTCAAAAATAACAAAAAAAACCCAGAAAATAAATAACAGAGCAAGCAAAAAGTTTGGTTTGGGGAGTCCAAGGAGCTCATGCAAAGCTGTTGGATGCCTCACCAGTATGTGCTGCTTCCAGGCAGCTTTGAACCACAGGGTGCTTTTATGGGCCCACATCTCCTTCAAGGACTCCAGGTTGCTCTTTCATGCTCAAAGCAGGACACGACAGCACAACCCCAACTAACTCACACTGCTCATGAGCCAGGCTTGCACACAGCTGTCCTAGGAAGAGTTAGAAGAAGGGGAAATGAAGGAATTAAGTGATACAGACAGTGTAGTTCACAAAAAAAACATGCTTCTTTAACATCCATGTTTGTGTGGTTCAAGGTGCTTTTGGATGTGACAGTGAGCAGAGGCAGCAATTAGTTCAGGGGGTGAAATGAAATAATAGAAACATCTTCAGTTTCTTTGTTTCTATATCAAGACATACATGAAGGCAAACAAAGCAGTAACAATAATACTCTAACAGCAGCCACTCCAGGACTGAATTAGAGAAAAGATTGATTCTTTTGCCATTAGTGCTGGATTTACTACCATGCACTGCCCCTGCTCAGAAGCAAGAAGAGAGTAAGGCCACTTTGTGCTCATTATTGGCAGCTCTTGGCACAAGCTGTTTGCTCCTGCTAGCCCAAGATTCCCAGAAGTAACTTTACTTCCATTTTCATCTTGCAGGGAGAAGAACCCGATTGCTGAAGGGCTTACCTGCAACAAGCACAGTCGAAGAAAACACAGCAGCTGGTGCTACAGTCTATAACTTCAGCGTAACACTGTCTTCTGGAGGTGTTGCAGTTCTTCCTACCATAGTAATTTCAAATCCACTTACAGAGGCTTTTGATATTGAACCAAAAGGAGGTCTCGAATTCAGGGTGAGTTTTACGTTTAGCCTAAGCAATGTTCAGTCATGTAGGCTGATGTTTCCTGGATTACTGAGCACTCACAGTGCACAGTGTCTCGTCTTCCAGTCAGAAAAGGGTTGTAAATGCAGACACTAGTCTCCAGTAGTATTTGGACATGCAAATAGATATGAAAAATGAATTGCAATAGCGATTACAATTTTTAATTGCGTCTAGGCAAAAATCACTCATCACAATAATTCCATCAATTCTGTGTTAGAAGAGCTGTGATTCTTAGAAAACAAGAGATGAAGAGGAACACATAGGACATGCTTCTGTTTTTAGGATATGTTCATAATTTTTCAGCTGAATTTATAGGAAGTCACTGTGAATTTAAAGTGGCTTAGTTAAACCACATGCAGCTTTTGTTTGGCCACTCTCACCTAGAACTAGCATTCATTTGACTCACTTCCAACATAAAGAGAGCTGAGTCAGATCAAAGTAATTTTTAATTCTAGGTGAAGGCTGTGACACATGGGGAAGTTATCTTGGGGTAAGAAGTTATCATCCTTCCACACATCTGTGATCTATTTCTATGCATTGCATGCTCTTCTCCTATGGCAAATGCAAAGCAATTTCCATTACTTCAGGCTAAATTTTCATTGTTGGATAAATTAGCAAGTATTAACTCACATTTGTCACTGGCAATGAGTGTTCAGATGTGTGATAACTTGTCATCCCATTGCAGCTTGCTTGTATGTCTGAGCCTGAACAGTGACACTGAAGAGAAAGATACAGATAGACATTGAGTCTTAAAATGTTTATTTGAATGCCTTTTCCTGTGTGTTTCCAAGGAAGTTTGTTAGGAGCTGCAGTGATAGGACAAGGGGCAATAGGTACAAATTGAAAAAGGGGAAATTTAGGTTAGATATAAGGAAAAAGTTTTTTCCTGTGAGGATGGTGAGACACTGTCCCAGGTTGCCCAGGGAGGCTGTGGCTGCCCCAACCCTGGCAGTGTTCACAGCCAGGTTGGATGAGCCTTGAGCAACCTGCTCTGGTGGGAGGTGACCCTGCAAGGGGTTGGGACTGGATGATCTATAAGGTCCATTCCAATACCTAAAATTCTATGATTCTATGAAGTTGGGGTTTTCACAGAACTGATTCAAGGGCTCCTTTCTCATTCTCTTTTGTGGTGTTTCAGGAAGAAAATTTGGGAAAGTGAGACCTTTACCCTGGGCTGTTGTGGCTCATTGATTTGACCTTTCTGTGAGGAGCAGCTGTGGCTCCCAGCTCAGTTGTGCTAGCTCTGATGGTTCTTTACTGCTTCTCAGCCACACCAGTGAAATGTTAAAAAACCCTCTCAAAATCCTGTTTCACCTGTGAAGAATAAGATGTGGCTGCACAAACACCTGGAGCAGGTCAGCTGAGGGGATGTAACAGTCAGAAGGAAATGGATACATCCCTTAAGATAACTTTGCTTACAGAGAATTCATAATGTGGGACTCCCTTCCTAGGCTTTGTTTTGGCATTTGAATTAAACCTAGCACCTTCTGCTATATGGTCTCCTGCCCTCACTCTCCTTATTATAAGTAAAATGTCTTCCCCTCAAGCTCCTGACTCACAGAAATAGTGAAGCTGCCCTTGTGTCCTGCAGGGCTTCCTCCAGGTTTTCAGTCTTGTCACACCTCTACACTCCTACAGCTTGGTGTGGCAAGGTAAACACTAGGCACAGACACATACCTGCAAGTGGTGAGGGTGGTGAGACACTGGCACAGGTTGCCCAGGGAAGTAGTAGAACCCCAACCCTGGTAGTGTTCACAGCCAGGTTGGATGAAACCTTGAGCATCCTGGTCTGGTGGGAGACCAATGGCAGGGGGAGTTGGGACTAGATGATCTCTGAGGTCCATTCCAACCCCCAAAATTCTATGATTCTATGATTTCTCCTCCTCACACTGCTCCTCACACAAGAGATGCTTGAGTTGCTCCATGAAGCCACAACATTTTGGTCTGTCTACTCTGGTTGTCTCATATTTTTAACACTGACAAGAAATGTGCCAGCAAATAGAAGATGTTCTAAAATACTCATTGTACTGATGGAAAGTGTCCCTTTACTTGTATTCACTCATATAGACTATAACTGAGATTTCTTTCACCATGTGCCAATAATAATATTTTCTTTTCAGGTTGTTACCACTGGAAAGCCTGTCCTAGATTATGAAACCATGCCAAAGAGCTTTGATTTACAGATTTTTGTTGAAGATACAACTGGAAGGACTGACGTTAACACATTGACTGTTCGAGTAACAGACAAAAATGAACATCCTGTATTTCGAGGAAATATAGCAATTCAAAGTAAGATAATGGCAGTATTTGGAAAGAACAATACTTGAAAGGATGACATCAGCTTAAAAACAGCTAGAGCTACATACAGGGCCTGTAGCTGAAGTAGTTTAAACATTTTATTTTAGGAAAACTGGGGAGGAACAGGACACTGTTTTTATCAGAGGTTTATTTCACACAAATATTTGGTGTGCTTCATCTCTAGAAATACCTTTTTATTTTTCTTGAAGCTTGGACCAAAGATTATTTAAGCAGTTTGAAGCACCTGAAGAATTAAAAGAAAACATACCAATAAATACATATGTTCTTTTTTGATGAGATGAATACCTACCTGGAAGTATGAATTAGAAGACTGAAATTTGGTGGGGATAGAACTGTTGAGTATGGATACATATTTCGGTAGTTTGTTGAAAACTGGATGGATTTGAACAAGCAAGATAAATTTAAAGAAGTGTATATTATATGTGTCAGAATTTCTGAGGGAAAATGATATAAACATTCCTCTGCAGATCTTTTCCAACTGTGTATTGCATTTGCACCTGCACATGAGAAATCAAGTGGAAAATCAGTTTGAAGAGGGAGATCTCAGAGATTGGTGCAAATGGAAAAAGTCAGAGAGTTCTGTCTCCTGCTTGGGGCAGATGGAGTTAACCAGGTTTACTTCCAAACCAAAGATGCAATGGGGAGGAATGTGTAGTAGCCTTAGGAAAGAGCCTGGAGAGTCTGGACCCCAGTTGTGGCCAGTGCAGGCTTTGCATGCCTTGCAGTGCCTAATATGAGTGACAACACCATCAATAAAAGGGATAGGAAATATTTGTCATACTCTCTGATTGATCTTATCTTCTCATTTACTAATGAGAGGAGCCTGCAAAACCTGCACCAGGAGGGAGCAGAATATGGTGATGTATTTATTATGTGTTCACTGCTCAGACAGAACAGTTCAGATGTACTGAACTCCTGAAGTACTGAGACACACTGACATTCCTGATCCCGTACAATGCTTAGTTTGTAAAGCAAATTAGCTTCCCCCAGGGAAGAGGCTGTGTCATCTTCTCAGTATAGCTGGTGTCTTGCATATCATGGGTGCTGCTGGAATCTAATAATAATTAAATGTGACACTTCGGGGGATTGACACAGCATGAAACACACTACGTGGGAGCTTGTTACAAATAAGTGCATCAGCTTAACTCTCAGCTAGAGCTGCCATAAATTGGTGAGCACAGATGTCTGATCTGTCTAACTGTGTGGGTTTAGTTAACAGTACCAGCTACAATTAGACACTAATTGCACATTCGCTGTTTATGAAAAAGCATCTCCCTCTCATTAAACTTCATATTCATATTGTTGTCCTCTGGGAGCAACTCATTACGCTGCTCTGGGATTCCCACTGCTCTGATGAGCAGCAGCAGTCAGGAGGAGTCACAGTGCAAATTAATAGTCCAGAAAGAGCAGGTCCAGCAGACACAAAAGGCTATAAAGCAAATAATTTGATCTAAAGATCTGTTGTTCTGTTAATCACTCTACCCAAGAAGAGAGAAGCCTGTTGCCAGTTGTCTGGTGTGGGATGGCCCAGCTGTGAGAATCCATGGTATAGAAAGAAACACACCTTGCACTGAATTAGTGCCCTGAGTAAAGCAAACTTTTAAGTCAGTGCAGACCATCCACTTTGTATTTAGCTCACAGGTGTAAAGGAAAAGCAGAATTGAAGAGGAACAGCTCTGAGCTCTCCTGGCAGGGCACAGGGGGTGGACAGAAGGGGATGGAGATAAATACACAGGACTGAATTTTCCCCATCTGCATAGTAAAGAAAGACACAGATGTAGCCCAAATGCATAATTTTACTCCATAACCTGTGAACAGCTCAAGATACATCCCATGGAAAGATCCATCTTTCCCCTGAAGGCACAATTCATATTGCAGTGCTGGTTGCCTTTTTACAGATATGTAATTAGTCTCTCTTTATCTTTTGAGTATTTGTGATCTTTGTGATGATTTTGGAATTACACTTGTGAAGTGAGAAGGTACAGCAGGCAGTAATGTCTGGGCAGCTTCAGTGCATCAGTTTGTTTGCTGCTGTGTCCTTTATTCTTACCCAATTAACACTGAGTACACTTACATCCATGCAGCTGTAACCATCTATGTGCTGGAAGGAACATCTCCACAACACATCTACCAAGTCAATGCAGCTGATCCTGAAAATGCTCAACTCAAAGTAAGTTGTATTAAAGAAAAAAAACGAACAGACATGACATAATGCACTGGATCAGAAATGCTAATTACCAATATCTTTCAACAACTTCCTTACCAGGAACACAGGAAAAGGTTTAGTCAAGAAAAGAAGGAGCATTTTCAATAATAAACTAGGAAAACCCAGGCTTAATGTTTGGACACAAATTGTATTTTGAATTCTTAGCCTTCCAAAATGAAGGGATATTGAAGACATAGTTAATCACAGAGACTTTTGTTTTAGATGAAAGTGACTAGAAGTAAATAATTGTTTTAACCTTCTATATCACAGTGTAAATTCTTTTAAATCAGACAGTAAGGAAATCACTTACAAGGCAAATGAATCTCAGCTTTTTGACACACAGATCTTCTGTTAAGATGTGTTAGCTGATCTCAAAATATATCAGCAAAAATTCTGGAAAGTGATGTTTGTTTGCAGAAAGGGGAAAAGTAACTGCACTCACCTAAGAATTGTGTTGTATCTTTCCTTTATTGACTTTGGCTTTATAAAAGACAGTACATTCAAGAACTGAGCCCCAAAATGCTACTTCCATGTGTAGTGTTATTCAAGAAAGCAATTAGCTTGAAGTTTGTCCTCAGGCTTTGCCCAGTCAAACCTTCAAACCTGAGCTGGTGAGATGGGAAGCAAAGCCCTGGAGGTTTAGCTTTGCTTTGTGTTTGAGCACAGTGAGTTCCACACACCTTCCAACCCCTGACACACCTCAGGCATAAGAAGCTGCAAATCAAGAAATGCTGCTACAGCTTTGGACAGATCTGCTCAGTGGATTTTGCAGGCTGCTTGCATGGTGCATGTCCTTCTCTTGTCGCATACTTCAGACTTTATGGGTGTTAATAACACCTGCACTAGTAAAGGAAATGTCCTGGGGGGCTTATTGGTGCTGGCTTGGCACGTGGAAGATGGCAGGGAGGATGTGGTAGTGCCTGCCTTTCTCCCTGCTGTGCAGCTGTGGGGGTCCCTGCTCCCTCTCACACCGTGCACTGCTGTGGTACCTGTTTGTGTGCCACAATGCACAAAGTGGCTGCAACTGTTTGCCACTGTTAGCTCTGTGCTGCTGTCAACACCCTTCAGCCTTGCCCCCTCGTGCACTCTGTGAAGGTACTCTGTCAAACTCCCTTCCTTGCCTCCTCCCATCATCTGGACCCTCAAACTTCATTCCCTCCTGCACAGCTCTTATGTCTCCCAAATCCAGTCTCGCCCCTTCTCTCTCTCCTAATTGCATGCACTCTGCTGCCACAACACAGCTGATTTTTGCCTGTGGTGCTGTGGCCTTGCTGGCTGCTCTCTGTGTGAAATTCCCACTGCAGGCCTGGAGCTCAGAAAGGTACACAACAGAGCAGTTCAATGCCTGTGACTCTCCACCTGCTGCAAGCAAAGCATTTATGACCAAGTTCAAGCTGCCTTGGGTGTGATGCTCAGGGCCTGTGTGAATCTGTGTGTCAGCAGGTTTCATGATGCATTTTGAGGCCACTGATGTGCTGTAATTTGGCCTGTCCCACAAGGCAAGGAATGAATGGAGGGATGTTTAAAGACACAAAGACTAATTCCTTGCTCTCTTCATTTCAGTATTCACTGCTCCCTGCAGCAGTGCCATTCTCAATCAAGGAAAGTGGAGCCATTTTTTCCACAAAGGAATTTGATTATGAGAAAGATCTGTGTTGGTGAGAATGTATTTTATTCATGTGTTCTATTAGCTTACAGTAGTCAGATAAATATTTCCCTAC